CGAGTTTAAAATCAGCTTCATGCAAAGTGAGGTGCTAAGCGACTCAGTGAGACCCTGTTTCTAAATAAAATACAAAATAGGACTGGGGATGTGGCTCAGTGGTAGAAAGCCTCTGAGTTCAATCCCTGGTATGCCTCTCAAAAAGTTTACATTAAAATAGTAATGTTTACCCAACTACACTATAATTCCCCAAGTTATTTGCACTCAATGCTGCTAGAAATGAATACCAAAGAAAGGAGGCAGACTTTGGAACACCAGGTAATTTAACCTGGTGATTTCCAATATCATTCCTGGAAAATCCTATTATATATAATAAGCAAGATTTAACATTAGTGAGGTTGACTGTGTATTAGTTTGCCCAGGCTGATATAACAAAATACCACAGCTTGGGTGGTATTTTATTATATATTGAAGAACAGTAGGGTTGGGGCTTGGGCTGGGACTCAGTGGTAGAACACTCGCCTAGCATATGTGAAGCACTGGGTTTGATCCTCAGCACCACATAAAAATAAATAAATACAATATATATCATAGTTGAGTTTTGGTGAGGGCTCTCTTCCTGCTTTGCAGATGGCTGCCTTCTCCCTGTGTCCTCACAGGGGACGGGGTGGGTAGATCCCTTTCTCTTCCTCTACTTATGACGCCACAATTCTATTGGATTAAGATCCTAACCTCATGACCTTCATTTAACCTTAACTAACTCCTCAAATTCCCACCTCCAGTTACAATCATATTGGGAGTTGGAACTTCAACCTTCAAATTTTGGAGAGACACACAATTCAATCCATAGCAGATGGCTATGTGTTTTATAGTTATTGCATGGGTTCGATGCATGTCTTTGTCTCTCAACAGATCCTCATGTTGCTTGCACACTTACTTAGGGCTTCTGTGACGCTGTTTAGGGAACAGTTGGCTATGCACCTCTTTTCCTCTCCCAACAAAACTGAGTTATCTCCACACAAAAGTGCATTTCAATTACACTTTTGCTGTGTCTTCTCTAATATGTTATGTCTGTTCTTAGCACAGAGCCTTGCACATGATGAGACTTATTCTCAACTGATGGTTATTTCATACTGAGGGTAGAAGAAATCTTTGCATTTTTTTGCTGGCCTACTGATGTTTGTATATTTTAATTAAAAATGATTGGGAGGTTTAAATCTTCTTCACTTTTCTTCAAAAATGCAGAACAGAGAGGAAGCATGGGTAAGACTTTGTGGTAGAATCTTAAAGGATCCTCCAACAGCCCATATACTCAAGGTATGGTCACCAGCCTGTGGAGCTGGAAGTGGTAGAACCTGAGAAGTAGGGCCCAGAGGAAGGACACTAGTACTTGCAGGTGTGACCTTGAAGGGACTAGGGGCACTTGGTCTCAAAACAAGGGAGCCAGTCAACTCTGAATTGAAACCTCTGAAACTGTAAGTCAAAATAAACACTTCCCCATTTTAAGTTGTTTTCCTCAGGTGTATTGTCACCTCAATGGAAAGCCAACACACACAGTATAAATCAGTACAACCTCCTTGGGAAGAAATTTGGTCAAATTATCTACATTGAAAAGGCGTTTACCCTTGAACTGAGTAACTGCTAGTCTAGAATTGAACCCTACAGTCTTTTATAACATGTGCAAACTGTTATATACTCAAGGTCATTCACTAATGTATTGTTTATAACAATAACATTGAAAGCAACAGAAAAAATAACAAATAAATTACACATCACACAATTGAATGTTACTCAACAGCTAGTAAGATGGAGGCAGAGCTGCTGATTTGGAAAGATCTTCAAATTAAGTAATGTGTAGAAGATACTATTGTTTGTCAAAAATATATGTATCCAATAATATATGTATACATATTCATAAATATATGTATCTAATAATTTGCTTGATGTTCACAGAGGATCTCTAGAAGGACACCCAAGAAATGATAGAGTTTGCTTTTGAGAAAGAAAGCATAAAAGGAAACTTATTTTCCACTGTGCACCCTGCTTGATATACACTGCAAATTTTCTATGTGCATATAATCTATTCAGAAAAGTAAATTAAATCGAGAGATGATTCTTTGCTGTTATCTTTTTCTCACTCTCATTTAGGGTCATACCAAACATTCTGAATTAATAAGTTTGCCTTTTCTTTCTTCAAACAGCCTCCAAATCTGTCCCGTGGAGCTAAGGTCAGACTCCTCTTCCATGATATTGAGCAAAGTAGTAGGTCACTCTTCTGCTGGTGACCTTATTAATTGGGTTTAGACCACAAGAGAATTTGAACAATTTTTTTTTAATGAAACATTCAGAGTCCCTTTGCCCTCTTTAGTTCTTCTCCTCCAAGATGTCAAGAAAAGTGTCTTCAGTCAGATTTACAAATGCCATAAACTGGTTGTCAAACTGAAAGGAGAGGAAACCTTGGAGGATGTTACTGGAATTGTAAACGAGGAGAGTAAGTTCAGTCTAATATGTGCCCTAGATTTGTAACAAGCAGATTTCAAGAAGTAAGTACTGGTCTCAGTGGCCTGAGGGCCCAGAGTATTTGGAGATGATCAAAATTAAAATTTAATCATATAGTCAAAAAAGTAAGCCATGGAAGAAATAAACAAGAGTATTTCTCAAATTTCCCATGGTCATCTGCCAAAGATGGAAGGGAAACACAGGACATAGAAGGCACAACAGGGACACATGTCATTTTGAGAATATCAGTGAAAAAGGCTGAAACCTAAGTTTGCAAAAATTTGCAGTGGACCATTTTTACCAGTGTTTTTAAAGGCACAGTTTAGAATGGAGTGGATTAGATGGTCCTGCTTTATAGCTAATAAAGAGAAAGCAAAACCAGGAAAATTTTTAAAACATATTTTTAGTTGTAGATGAATACAATACCTTCATTTTGTTTATTTATTTTTATGTGGTGCTGAGGATTGAATCCAGGGCTTCACATGTGCGAGGAGGCAAGTGCTCTACCTCTGAGCCACAACCCCAGCCCCACAAAACCAGGAATTTAGTGATTATTTATTCCAGCTCATTCATTTTACTAAGACACACTTTAGGCAGAGCCTAGGATTAAATACCCAAGTCCCTTGCTGGGTCTGCTCACCACCTGGTATTCTTAACAGTCTCTGACTCTGGAAGCAGACCAGCTGGATTCAGTCACAGCTTTGCTGCCTGTGAGCTGGATGACTGTGGGCAAGTTACTTAAACTTTAATGCTCATCTTTCAAATGGGGTTGATACTAACAACCATACCTGGTATGGTTGTTATGGGGATTACAAATCACTTCAAGATCTGGTGCACAGAAAATGTTATATAAATGCCAACCATGATATTAATCATTATTGATACTTCCAATTTCTGCAACAAGGAGAATCATTTTAAGTGGGAAAGAACACAACCAATGTAGGAGGAGTCTGCATTGCAATATGCAAGTGCCACATGAGGTCTGATATAAGAAATTGCTTTCTCATGAAGAGAGCTGTCCAATAATTTTTGACTGGTGGTAGGTAAGCATTCTTAGGCACAGGTGAATTCAAACAGAGGTGACATGACCTGCCAAGGATGCTGAAAGCTGATTCCTGGGTAGTAGAGGCAGGGTTCAGGTAACCTCTAGGGGGGTCTCTGATAATTCTAATGAATCCAATTAATTTAGGATGGATTCTAAGACCTTCTACACTGGCAGCCCTGGGGTCACTGCATCGTCCAGTTTCCCTGCCTAGTTTCTTCTTGGAACTGAAGAGCACAGTTTAGTCTGGACTCTCCTGCATCAATTCTATGCAAAGAGACAAACTTTGGTGTCACAGCTAAGACTCCCAAATACTCAAGTTGGAGTGGACTTTGAATTTATTTGTGGGCCGTGGCACACTGAAAAGGCTAGCAGAAAAGGGAACAAAACCTAGTGTTGCTAACAAGATTAGGCTCATTGCAAGCCTTCTAGCCATGGGATACTTCATTCCTAGGAGTAGAAATCTCAGGAGAACCTCAGTTAACAACGTCTCTTTCCTCTGTACCAATGGCAGGTTAACAAGGGCGAGGACACCAGTAGAGCCTTGGCTGTGCTGCCGGGTGGGGCGGGACCGCACCTGATCTTCCCTGCCTACAACCGCAGGCTCTCTCTGCGGGGCACTTCCTGGAGCCTTTGATCTTTCCGCAGGAACTGGCAAGGGCCGCTTTCCCCTTGTAGTTTTTTCCTCTTGGTTTATTTATTCTATCTCTTTTCTCCTCACTGATAGGAGGTCAGAATGCAAGTATGCAATAGATCTTGTGTACCCAGTCTCCCCTCTCGGGTCAGTACTGCGAAACTGCAAAAGGCGCACTTCAGTGAGTCCTGGGGCAGCAAATCTAGAGGAGGGGAAGGGGTCTTTCTCCTTCCCGGGAGCCAAGCCTGGAACCAGGATCCCGGGATCAGTGACCACGACCCCGCTCGGGTACCCAACGTCAGCCGGGCCAGCGAGTGCGCCCTTCCAGGGGCTGAGCATGCGTCTGTGTCCAGGATTACCCTGGAGTTTCATCTCCTCCCTTGGAGGGTCTCAAATTGCCAACCCTGCTGTGAGGGCACCCTGCTCCCCTGCGCTGGGCCCTAATCTCCACCCGGCGTCTCCGTCTGAGAGGCCGGGCCCCAGCTCTCCATCTGCGCATCTTATCTTAAATCCCATTTATCTTCTTAAAGCCGAGACCTTGCTGCCCCGCCTCCTCCCCCTCTCCTCCACTTGCAAATCACCCCGCCACTCTCATTCCCTCAAGTGCCCTGGGCCAGCACGATCAACCTTGGAGGTGGGAAAAGTCGCCAAACTGGGTGGAAGCGACCTAGAGGGCGCGGCCGGAGGAGGGTCCCTCCAGGGAAGGGGGAGGCGCCCCGAGTTGGGGGTCAGGCCCGCAGCAGAGGGTCCTAGACTTGTCACTCTCTAACTCTTGCCCTTGCGGCTCCAGTAGTGGAAGTCGGCCTTTCTGCACCCCCAATCTAAGTGGCCAGAGGGGAAGGGCTGAGCTGGGGGCAGCTAGAGAGGGGGTGAGGGGCGGGCTGTCTGCACCCGAGGTGGGCGAGGAGAGAATTGTTCCGAGGCCTGCCCCGTCTCACTTCCACTCGATTGTAATTCCATCCCGGGGCGGGTCGACCTTCCCTCCCACTGGCGGCCAGTCTGTCCCTCCCATCGGCCTCCGTCGTCCCCCCTCGGCTTCCCCAAGCTGCTCCAGCCGGCTTCACTCTCGCACGCCGACCTCCCGGCTGCTCTCCGGTTCCTTGGGCTCCCCCGTGGACTCCTCTGTGGTTCCTGGTCTCCCGCCTCCTCACCCCTGCCGAGGGATCGCGGGTCCGCGTGCCCAAGTCCCCCAGGAGACGCCCTTTTCCCTGAGCGTCTGGGACTTGGTGAAACTTTGCAGGCGCCGGCGGAGAAATGGATTCAATCCGAGGCGTCTTGCTCGGGCTCCTGCTCCTGGCTTCCAGCATCCGACCCGGCGCTCCGTCGCTTAGAGCTGCTCTCCGAAAACCAGGTAATTCACACAGTCCGCCCAGGGGCACTGTGCCCCGAGCACCCCAGTCCTGGCGCTTGGCGAGGACGCAAAGCCCGCAACGCACAGCCTTTCTGTCCCCTGTCTTAGCGCCAGTTTATCTGGCTTCAGCTCTGCCCGCGGCTAAGCAGACAGGAGCCTCGCCCTCCCCCTAGCCCAGGCGGTTCCAGGGATATTTGTTTGTTTAAAGAAATGATCTGTTTTCCAGATCCAGGAGAGGTGATGGGCTCTGTATTTGACCACAGAGACCTAAGAGTTGGGGTAGTGATCATGCTGTATCAATTAGAGGATTGCGACTGTGCAGAGGAGTCAAACAGCTCCTCCTGGGTCTCTAAACATCTTATTGAATTCATATTGCCTAGAGCCCAGCCATTTCCTGTTAAGTGTCTGAAGGTTTGCCTGGAGTGCCCCTGCACATCTCCGGTCCTGCCCACGCACTATGTAGGGATGCGCACTTTGCAGTTTGGATCCTCTATCGCCCTGGGGCTGTTTGTGCAGAAAGGAGCGCTCAGTGGGTTAATTGGATCCTGTTTTGAACTCCCGTCTTTGCTCTGGTGTTTCAACAAAGATGTATGCATTGTAGGCTATCACAAAGGACTGGGGAGAACGAGAAATCACAATAGCTTGCATTTCCTCAAGTTATATTGGTAAAAAGTCTTTATGTATGTTTATCTACTTCAATTTTGCCTGTGTTGTGAGATTATTCACAGTAGAACATTCTAAACAATAAAGTTTTAAGCATTGTTTCTGAATAACGATTTTCATTCTTCTTTGCTAGGACCATATTTAGAATTCTGAAAAAAATCTGTTTTTTTCTTAGCTTACTTGGTAAACGAGGTTGTCTTATGGGATTAATTATATCTTATGAACAATGGAAAACAATATAACTTTATTTGAATGCAGTCTGCAAAACTCAAAGAAAGTGCAGTTTATCTTCACAAATGTTTCTGCAAGAAAGAGGCAATCCAGGGAAAATTTAGCAGAGGGCAAAGAATATAATCCTCGCAGGTTCCCGTTTGGCTGCTTAAATATTTTCCCTGCACAAGGATCTATCTGAAACGATGTGACTTGCCTCACAGCTCTGGGAGAGTCCTGTCTTCAGGGTGTATCTGTGGTCGCTTGTGCTTGGCTACCTGCCTTAGAATCATTATCATATTCTGCACCAGGCTTAAATTATGAGCTATTCCATTTCCACACGGTGCAATTCATTTTGGAGATAACAGCAACAGTCCAATGTAGTATTATATTAAATTGTTTTTCTTCCTGCATGCCCATATACACACTTCATGTATTTCAAAAAAGGCCTTCTTTCTAACTTTCCTCCACAAGAGAACCACATCATCATCAAATCTGCAGGTTTGTACATATAAAACCATCTAGTCACAATTTTTTAACAATACAAAGTTGTATTTCTAACTCGTGTTTACAGTGTTCTTTTAAGAATAGATTTCAGTTCACGTAACTAGAATTCTAAAATATTTTACAAAAGACTGGTGTATAAATTGCACATATGGCTCACGCTATTTTACTTCCTTTCTTTCTACCTTGTTCATTAAGGGTCTCCTTCTGATATTTATGCCACAGATATATTGACCTCTGGTTTTACTTGAAGCATAGATGGGTTTTGATAGTGGAAACTTTGCCTTTTGAGTATTGTTGGCATATTAAATGCATCAAATTCAAGGTAGAAGGTGTGTTTAGACTAAGTTCAGCCCAGAAGAATTTTCTTATTACTTTATAATTTCATCCAGACAGTGACTTTCAGGTTGGAAAGCTGCTGAGATTAAAATGACAGCTTCTTCATAAACTTCAGGGGAAATTTTCCTCCTGGGCTCATTTACATCCCTTGGAAAGACTAGTTTTTGATCCGGAAAATTGGTCCAGATTAAAAACTGAATGTGCCCTGCTTGGTTGTAATGTGAACAGCAATGAGCTAATTTATAATCTTCCCCAGACACCAGTAAACCCTGCTGGTACCCCTATGGGAGCATCTCTGAACCTTGATGCCTCCATAGAAATTGGTCTATGTGTTGTGCATTGGAGGTAGATGGCCACAGTGCCAGCATTCCAGAGCAGTCCTGTTTTGTTTGGAGAGCCTGCCCTATCTTTCCAGGTTGCTAAATCTACTTTTGATAAGTGTTGCTTTGTTGGAGAAGTCTTATATTCACATTAACCCGAAAATTCTCCATCCCCACCCATCTTTGGTGAGAAAAAAAAGCAGATAGCAGCTTTTGGTACAAACACCCTTTCCCTCCACCCCAAGACAGTACATCTTCTGGTACTGAACATAAGTAAATAAATCCCTACATGTGCTATGACTCACAAGAAATGGCAGTTTTGAAAGTAAGTCAAATGAAACAATAATAACTAACACTAATCAAGTGCTTGTTGCATTGTTTTGAGAATGTGACAACACTGATTTCTTTAGTCCACCTCATAGCCCTGGGAGATGGGTATTATCATCCCTGCTTTACTGAAGGAAAATTGTGGCTTAGAGAGGTTAACTATCTCACCCAAGGCCATAAGACTAGTCAGTGGTAGAATAGGAATTTAGGCTTTGGTATTCAGGGTCAGAAACTGAATTTAGAGCATCTCTGTTCAGAGAGGTTTGTAGATTATTTTGTAGAGTGTCTTCTTCCAGGCTGCAGATGGGCACTCCCAAGGTACAGTGCCCTGGAGTCCAGGTCAAGGACATTATCTCTCTTTGTGTGTGTGTGTGTGTGTGTGTGTTGGGGGTGGGGAGTGACTGAGTTGCTCTTAAATAAACATTTGCACATGGAACATTGCCAGGCCTCCAAAGGCGTGCAATGTGGTACTGATATGCGATTTTAGAAGCCACTGGCTACCAACCTGATCCTTAAGGATCAGAAGGGTAGCCCTCCAGGGTGTTGACCAGCAGCTTGCTTTTCTTGTGGAACTCCTGTGACTGCACACAGGTTGATGTCATTAGGCCTGCTCAGATCTCCATGCTGTAGGTAGGGTATAGATGTGCTGTCTCTCCACAAGGTTCTGACATTGCAGTTCTTAGGGCTGGTCCCGCTCACAAGGCCTAGAGGGTCCACTAGAGTACCTGGGAGCCCTTGGAAAATTGGGAGGGCAGAAGGCTCCAAGTCTATACCATCACCATGATGTCTTTCCCCCAGGTCTTCATAGTGTAGAAACTCCATTTGTTGGAAAGCCATTCATTCCTTTTCAGACATAAAATTCAAACCCAAGACCTGGAAGTAAGTGGATAAACCCTCATTTTTTAAGTGGGCTGAGGGGCATTTTGTGTCTTGCTTGAGTACAATTAGAAGCTGAACAGGGAACTAATGCCTAAACCCCACTCTGTTGGTGGTCTCTAGTGTAGTGCTTCTCCCTTACCCTGAGTCCCACCAGTAAGTGCAAGGGTAGTGTGGCATTTGTGGGGCAGAAGGAAGGGAAGAAGAAATTCAGACACCTGCTGGAACCAGCACACAATAAGCCATCTATATTCCCACAAGCAGATCGGAAACTCTTGTCTTTATTATCATCTTTTTTTTGGGGGGAGGGTTAGATTTATAGTGGTATAATTTACATCTGGTAAAATTCATCCTTTTCAGGTATACAGTTTGATGAATTCCTACAAACATACACAGTAATGTAACCACCACCATAATAAAAATATATAGAACATTTCCATCACTTGAAAATATTCCCTTGTGTTTATTTCTAGAAAATCTACTCCCTCCCAGACCCTGGAAACCAGAGATGGATTTCTGTCCCTGTGGTTTTGCCTCTTCAGAATGTCATGTGTGGTATTTCCCTTGTTTCACTTGGTATAATGCTTTGAAGATGCATCAGTGTCATTGCCCGTAGGTAGTTTGTTCCTTTTCTATTACTCAGTTTAACTTTTCTCTAGCAAATGTGTCATGAACTGCTCCATGCTATTATTAATAAAGCTGCTACACACATGCAAGTCACATACTAGTCTTTGAGTGGATATGTTTTCATTACTTTTGGAAAAATAAGCAGGAGTAGCATCATAGCACCAGGTGTATGTAAAACTTGATAAGAAAACATCAAACTGTTTTCCAGAGTGGCTGTATCATTTTCTATTCCTATTCATTTTCTATTTCTATTCTGAATCTTCAATAGCGCTTAGTGTAGTTGGGTTTTTTTTTCAGTTTTACTTGTGCTATTTCTAATAGATGCATATTGAGATCACAGTTTTAATTTATATTTCCTTAACGACTAATCATATTGAATGTTTTCTTCATATACGCATTTGCCATCCAAGTGTCCTTTGGTGAAATGACTGTTCCGATCAAGAAAAAAAAATTTAATGTAATTTTTCTTTTTGAGAAGGGATCTCCCTGTGTTACCTCAAACTTGCAATCTTCATGCCTCAACCTCCCAAGTAGCAGGATTACGGGAGTGGACCACTGCACCTTGTCTGTGTTCAAATCTTTTGCTGACTTTTTAAAACTGTCAGATGTTTGTTTTCTTATTATTGAATTCTGAGTGTTCTTTGTATATTCTGTATTCGGGTCCTTTATCAGATATATGTTTTGTAACTATCAGCTTCTAGTATGTGGCTTGTCTTTTTATTTTCTTTATGTTACCTTTCAGAAAGATTTGAATTTTGATAAAGTCCAATTTACTACTTTTTAAATGGCTCATACTCTTTTTTGGAAGCTTAAGCCAGGGTTACCAAGATGTTTCCCTGTGTTTTATTCTAGAAGTTTTTTAGATTTTTCTATTTAGGTTCATGACTCATTTTGAGTTAATTTCTACACAAGGTTTGAGAGGTAAGTCATGCTTAATTTTCTTGTGGGTGAATGCATCAGCATTATTTGCTAAACCCTGCTTGTCACTGAGCACAGCGTCTCTGGCTTAAAAGGCTTCTGTGACTGCACACAGGTTGGTATCATTAGGCCTGCTCAGATATCCATGCGGTAGGTAGGGTATAGATCTGCTGTCTCTCCACAATGTTCTGACAGTGAAGTTCTTAGGGCTGGTCC